CGAACGTGTTTCACCCAAAGAACGGGGTGGGTCGGCCCACAAATCGGCCCTAACTGAAAACCAAACATAATCTCCATATTTTCACTCAACTTGAGCATCTATCTTCATCAGCATGCTTTTCCACTCTTTCGAGAACGATTTCAGAAGACTTTTGAGGTCCGACATGCTGTTCGATTACACCATGGAAAACCATAGAAAAGTACCATGGGTGGCACCCTTGTGGAACACGGTTCTCCACTATTAGATCTGACCCCAGCGCCGTTCTTTCTGTGCAACTACAAGTCACTTAGGTCTACAAAACCACCCCAGTGAATATCCAGAAAAACTCTGTATTTTCGTTTTTTCCAAGACAAGACTACTTTTCTCGATAGAAAACTGTAAAAATTTGACTCGTATATGGCGATTTTCTCCATTATAACAAGGGTAGATTAGCAAAAGAAAGAGATATTCGGAATGGGTACGAAAAACTCCGTTGAATATTATCAGTTATAGTGATCAATGAAAAATTTCATTGTTGACCCTTATACCGCATAGGCAAACATTCGTGAAAATTTCATTTTGCATTGGTCATTACCCATGTAAAAAATTTGCTCAAAAATCATCAAATAATCGATTATTAATCGATTCAGTATTGATTTTTTTGTGATTATTTATGATAAAATCATTGATTAAAATTTTATGTTTATAATCGATTAATAATCGATTATTTGGTGATTTTTGAGCAAATTTTTTTTACATGAGTATTACTGATAATATTCAACGGAATTTTTCGCACTCATTCCGCATATCTCTTTGTTTTGATAATCTCACCTTGTTATAGTGGAGAAAATCGCCGTATACGAGTCAAATTTTTACAGTTTTCTATTGAGAAAAGTAGTCTTGTCTTGGAAAAAACGAGAATACAGGGTTTTTCTGGACGTTCACTTGGATAGTATTCAGTGGTGGATCTAGAATTTTGCCAAAGTGAGCGGAGCTACTTTTTTTTGAAGCAGTAAGAAGTATAGAACAGCGCGAATGGAATTATCTTTGTGAGGCTTCTATGTTGGTTAGGGAAGGGTTAAATTACGTAGTAAGTTTTACGTGACGTAATCGCTTTGAAACTTCAATCGCCGAAAGCGCCGAACCGCTAGATCCGCCGCTGGTAGTTTTTATAGACCTAAGTGACTTGTAGTTGCACAGAAAGAACGGCGCTGGGGTCAGATCTAATAGTGGAGAACCGTGTTCCACAAGGGTGCCACCCATGGTACTTTTCTATGATTTTCCATGGTGTTATCGAGCAGCATGTCGGACCTCAAAAATCTTCTGAAATCGTTCTCGAAAGAGTGGAAAAGCATGCTGACGAAGATAGATGCTCAAGTTGAGTGAAAATATGGAGATTATGTTTGGTTTTTAAATAGGGCCGATTTGTGAATCAACCGGTCCCCATCCTTTTAAAAACACCGAATCAAATTACTATACACAGTCAGCAATGGCGTGTCCTTTTCTTCTTCCACATTTCATATTCTTTGCTAGCGCTAAATCCAACTTGTTATGAGAGATTTATGGAAATCATTTTTCAAGTTGATCAAACGCAGCTAGTGAAAAATTTCAATTCCATCTAATCATACACCAACAAAAATATTTTATGTATTCTCACACAATACACAACTTATTCTAAAGCTGATTAATGATAAAGTTACACAAAACTATTCATCACTCTGTGAAATACGAACTCGAGATTGAGCAACGGCAGAGAGACTCATCAAGCTTACCTTTAAAAATGTCTTATCTTGTTTTTTCTTATATGTTGTCTCAATAGCGCATGCATGCGACACATACACACAGAAAAATAATGTGTTGCATTATGTGTTGATTTCGACACAATCGTGACACATTATTTTTCTATGTGATAACGACATTATATATTTGCTTTTTCTTTCACTGTTTTCAAGAGAATTCTCCACCCGTCACTAGTCTTATCTTTAGTCAAACAACAACACGAGTCAGATTTTATATACAGCAGCCATTTTCAGTTGGCAAAATCCTTAACATAGGACTTGTGCTAACAGCCTTTTTTTAAATATTAAGATGAATATATGCAGAGAAATTAATACGAAATGTTATATAGTAATATGACGAACTAACTGGCCTATGTTTCAAATAAAACAAAAACAAAACCTATATTATTTTTCTTTTATTAATGTTCAATTATAATCAAAATAGAACTCACAATTAAAATACCAAGAATGATTGAAAGAATTTTGCGAGCTCGTTGTATTTGAAGATCTTCGGCCAATGATAATTTTATGGAAACAGCTATGCTAGAACGATTCATCATATTCAAGTTGTCACGTCCTTGTCTGTGTTGCATTTCGATGATGTACAATTACGTCTCTATAGTAAATACAGAAGAATATAGAGATAAAGTTAATAATAATGAGAGAAAGACTAGCTCAAATGATAGGTTTTCTTCTTACCAATCGGTTATATATCGTATAGACTATCGAAACAAAATAAGAAACAACACATATTGATTCTTTCAATGCGAATATAAACAACGCAATTCGTGAGCAGTACTATGAATCCGATATTCTCTATTTTAGACGTCATGAAAGAATACGCATGTTCGACGCAATTAAAAAAAAACAAATATTTCTTTACATGAATGAGTAATACATCGTTATCAAGACACATTCTATGTGGATATTGTGTATTTTGATCCTTAGAATTCCATGCACTCTATCATGAATCGAGTGTAGTCTTCGTCATAGTCGAATAAAAAAAAATATTCTGAATCCTGTAAACTATGTTATGTAAGCGTGTATAATAATGCTCAGTTGAATAATTTTTTTTATAATGTAACATTGATGGAAATGTATAATTAATTTTAAAAAAAATCGCGCATTATAAAAGAAGCAAAATCATAACATGACATTTCATCTTTTGTTATTGTATGCTTTCAATGACTTTATGTTGTTGATTGGTTAAGTAAATAATCTATAAGTAGGGTATTGAAAGAAACAAATCCCACTAAGACTAAATGAATCAAAATTTAATTAAGCAATATAAATATTATAATATTTAATAGACAAACTGTTCCAAAAGTCCACCGAAAACTTAACTTAAATGTTTCTTATATAAACCAACCGACATTGATTGTTTTTTTTTATAATCTGATAGTATGCACTTCGAGCTTTCATTTCACATAATTTAGTTGGGAACAAAACAGTCAAAATGATTTTTATCAACTGAAATGTATGAATTCATTCTTCTAAAAGTTAGCAGAAAAATATTGCTGAAAGTTTATTTTTAAATTAATCTATTTCCGTTCTCAGTTTTCATTTTGAATTCAACCAGATCTGTATATAAGTTTTATACACCTGGATTGTTATTTTACATTTATCGACAAGTCATTTAAATTAAAAAAGACTACGTCAGGAAATAATATAATTTCCCCAATGCTATTGTCATCTAACATCGATATCAGAGTTTACACATTTTAACATTATCCTGTAAATCTTTTTCATAAAGTTGTTGAACAAACTGCGCTTTGTACGGTTTTAATGACATATAATCCGTCATAATTCAGTATACTGTTGTTGGTAGAATGAAGTAGACTGTTGCAACAACGAGAGCATTCGATTGTGCTTGATTTCCACAAACATGATTAACTTCATAGATTCTTTTCTTTGTTCTGTAGTTTTTGACGGTCTTTCAGAATGTTCTCGATTTTGTACTGTACTACGTAGTTTCACAAAAAGATTAAAATATTGCTATAATTTAAGCATTTTTTCGTGTGTTTTTTGTTAAAGTTGATTTTTAGTTTTCGTTGCACAACGATAGGTGGCTCAATTATGACCAGTACCATAACTGTTTTTATTCTAATGTTTACAGGCACAGACATTTATCTGAGAGTATAAAGAACAAGACTACGAAAAACATACAACTACATAGAATAAAATATTCGATTTGTATGAATAATATAAGAGATATTTACATTAACTTCTTTGACGGACTGTTAGAACATCCTGTATATTTAAATTACTCGGTCGAGATGGTGTAATTTTTAATGTATCAATGTATTCATTGCTCTATTGAAAAAAACAATGAAGCATTTATATAAATAGTTAGATGAATAAACCTGATATTACTCGAATGTTCTGATCTATTTGAAATAGCGTACTAGATTCATTGCATCCTATTGAGATCATACATTTCTAAAATATTTCTTGGTAAATAAATTCGAATAAAACTCTTTCACTGTTCGAAACTAAATAGTATTTCTATATTTTCATGACATTATAGAGGTTCTGACAAAGCGGAAATAACTAACTCTAGAGTATTTGAGTCCAAAACAAGCAGTAAGATTTAAGTAAGCCATTTAAGGGCACTCGAAACCATCTTAAATCAATGGCAACCACTTGGAATTATCTAGAACCGCCTAGAATTAGTTTAAGAAGTCAGTTGAACTTTGGGTGTGGGTGTGTGGCTGTGGTGTGTGGGATATGGGTCGGAGCTTACCTTAGGTTATGACTCACACCCACATCCTTCGAACCAAACCCCCAGTTGTTGCTCGATGACCCTCCCTCGAAAATGACACCATTCGATGCAAAATACAGCTCTGCATCTAACCCGAGTGAAACTAGGGTCAAACCAAGTCCAGGAGCGAATGTCAGCAGGAAAAACTTGAATCCGCTGCTAACTTTCCTTTCGTTCATTATCTGTGCGTTCACAATGGTTCAGGTGAGCAATGCATATTTTTCAAAAAGAGAGTATGACTGTCGGTATGGCTGTGAAGGTGGGTATGCTGAATTGATGGCACTCACGCCAGAACCCAGATCGACACCCGCACGCACACTCATTCACACCCACACGCACACCACATCCTCATAATTAGTTCGACAAATGTGTCTATCAAAAGTCTTTATTCTTAGTTTTACAACTTCAACAATGTGCTTTGACGTCCACTGTTTATAGCACTGATAAAATTATACTTGTTTTGGAGAGATTTTCATGTAATTTTAGTCTTTACCCGTTAGACGACAAATACTATGCTTCATGCTGACTAGTGCACGATGATCAGCGGGAAGAAACTTTGTGAATATGACCACAGCTCGTTGGTAGTAGTCCAATGCCAGCTTTCTCTCATTTTGATTTTCATAGCATATTCCAATCTTTTTCAAACTGTAAGCAATATCGACATGGCCAGATGGAAAGAGTTTCTCACGCATTTTCAGTGCATGTTGAAGGTATTCCAAAGCTTCATCGTACTTTCCTTCATGACTGAGAACAGAGCCAATATTGTCAAAACTGATAGCAATGTGAGCATGAACAGGTGGATAGAATTTCTTACGCATTTCCAGTGATCGTCGATGGTATTCCAGAGCTTCATCGTACTTTTTTTGTTTATTGAGAATTAGACCAATATTGTTGAGGCTTTTAGCAGTATCAATATGACCAGATGGATAAAATTTCTCGCGTATTTTCAGTGCTTGTCGACAGTATTTCAAAGCTTCATCGTACTTTTCTTGATGAAGGAGAACAAAACCAATGTTGTTAAGGCTCGCAGCGATTTCGACATGATCAGATGGATAGAATTTCTCACGTATTTTTAATGCTTGTTGATGATAGTCTAAAGCTTCACTATACTTTCCTTGAAGATCAAGAATAAGACCGATGTAGTTGAGGCTATTACCAATTTCTATATGATCAGATGGACAGAATTCTTTTCGAATATTTAGTGCTTGTCGATGGAAATCGAGAGATTCATTGTATTTTCCTTGCCGATAGAAAATACCACCAATATTATTGAGCACTTGAGCTGAGTCTTTGATTCTTGGTGATTCTGCTTTGATCATTCGATCGTATGCTTGATCATAATATTTTTTCGCTTGTTCCCATTGACCTTTATAATCTAGAACTTGACCTAAATTGAATTCTATCCAAGCGATATCTTCACCATTAGGCTCCTTCAATAGTTCTTCAAAATATTTTTGTGATTGATCATATTGGCCTAGACTACACATCAATCGTCCAAATACAATGATAACACTTTTTTCTTTAATTTCCATTTGTGTCAACTTGATATAATCTTCTGTAATTTTTTTTCCCTCATTTGATGCATTCATGTGAATCAGTTGTATTGAATCTTGTTCTTCAATCGAGTTGAGTCGAAACGCTGCATTTAAATCAAAAAGCACTTCTTGTTCTTGTGGATAGTCACTGAAAGACGCAATATCAGCATAGACAACACTTTTACCAAGTTGTTGAATATGGCATTCGATTTGAAAAAGAACTTTAACAACATGCTGCCTGTTTGTGCTTGCTTGTAGAAATTTAATTGCTTGTGATCGACTTCGACTAGTTGACAAGTATCCATTAGTTGAAATAAGTTTTCCTTGACTTTCTTTCAATTTTTCGAATTCTACTTTATCCAACTTGGCTCCTCGATAAACAGTTAATATTTTATTATTAGACGAAAGGATCTTTTCATGCTCACGAGCAAGACTTTGTGATAGATCACCGATAAAAAAACGAAACGTTTGCAGTTGATCAAGATCTTCAGTTCGTAATGCTTTGTTGACTAATTTATAGACGAATGATTGTATTGAATACCATCGAATGGCGTCTTCTGGACGATATTCTCGTTCAAATTGATCAATCAAATTCAATTCTTTCGTATTTCCACGATAATAGTGCCGACATACATTAATCATTCGTTGTTTTGCTTCTTGATTTGGTGGAAGACGAATAATGAGATGATGAAAGAGTTGCAACCAAAGAAACTCGGCTGATTGTTTTGAAAGATCTTTTGTTGATTTTTGATGATGATCGAAAGCACTAAATACTTCTAATTGTTTATCAAAAAGATCAATTTGTTGTCGAATGGATGCACACAGGTCATCCAAATGAACATAAACATCAATAATCTTTGAATATTCATTCTTTAAATGCTCATATCTTTCTTTCTTTCTACAGAAGATGAAGATGCAATCAACCTGACAAAGATTATTGACCAGAGGTAGAAGTTGTGATGCTTTTGATCCTGATGTGATTAAAAAAATCTTTTCTTTGTTAATAGACTGAATATATGTAACACATTGGTCAAGATCAGTGTGAAATGTAACAAAATCATTGATGGAACGCAATTGTTGCTTAGTGAGTTCTGTATCTTCTTGCAATTCAATATTTGGATCAAACCAAAGAAGCGTCGTACTTTCATTATTTTGTTCATTTCTTGTTAAAAGTAAACCATAATCATGAATATTTCGAGTTGCCTTCTTGATAGCGTCTTTTGCTTGTGCCATTTATGTAAATGATAAAGATTGATTATAATACATAAATATTGTGAGAAAAACAATCTTAGATGAAAAAAAATGAAAATGCCAATAAGCAACTTTTCTTCGTGGGATGCACTTCAACACCACAATTCAAGCTTTTCCTTGCGTTCTTCTTATAAAAAGCCAACATTTATGTTTCACGACCACATATTCTTATAGTGTTTTTTTTTCACTCATTCTCTAGCTGTCACCATGCATTGCCCCCCTCCACCAATGTCTCCACATGTTTACAAGATTTTTACATGGCAAAGCTAGTTTTCTCCTCTACGACCAATAGGATATCGGAGTGGGTGGAAACCAAAAGATTTAGTCACATCTAGAAACCGAACTAAACACCCGGCTACACCCGCATAGGAATCGCTGCACGAGAGCTGCGCTCGGGTGTGGGTGGGTGTGGGGTGTGGGTATGGGTGTGGATGTGGATGTAGGTTTGAGTGTGGGGTGTAGGTGTGGGTGTGTTGGTATGGGAAAATACTATCAAAACTGACGCCAATACCCACCACCTACACCCACACCCACACCCTTTGGATATTCAATCTGAAGAATACAATATTATATTTTTTAATAGTTTGTATAAATATACATAAAAAAAGCTTCTAATGCAATCAACATAAAGTTTAATTTTGAGACATGATAAAAGTATCTTAATAATTGTATAAAGCCTTCGTTTCATCTGAAATTATCATTGTGTATAAGAGAGGGTGTGGGTGTGGGTGTGGGAGTGTGGGGGACCATATCTGTTTCATTATACATACGCCGACACCCATACACCCACACACCCACACCCACACCCACACTCCCACACCCACACCCACACTCCCACACCCACACCCAAAAGAAGAACTGAACTCGTATGCTTCTTAAAATTGTTTTATTAGCAATTTTTTGTATTTAAAAAATATTTTGTAATTTCTAATAAGAATATTAATAAATTGAAAACGTCATCTATGTCGATTTTTTTAGCAACTGCGATTGCACTCTGAAATTTTTACCGTAGTTTGACCACAATCAAACACATGGGTGTCTTATTCTGCATTCAGAGTCTCATATTAAGTTGAATAAATTAGTTATACTCAGAAAAATACAATTAGATATTATAAGTTGATATTGGGGTGACCTAAATTAAGGTTTTTTCATTCTTGAATATAGGACTTATTTTTCCAGAGTATTTCATTCAACTTTTATTGAGTACCATGATTTGAGTGTGGGACTGACTCTTGTCTTCTTCGACACTCGCAAGGGTCACATGTATGACTAAAAGTTAAACTAATAAATGTACAAAATAAGAAGAAACTAATAGCGTAGTTCCAAATAACACATGGAAGCATCAAGAATATGAATGAGAAATAAACAAAAAAGAGGATATCGTAGTTAAATAGTCAATTGAATGAAAAGATGAAAGTCTTTCATATCCTATTCATATCACATGAGCAGGTGTTGTTCATGACCAACACGATTCATACGATGGATTAGGTGTTCTACAGAAGCATCATCATCATTATTCGTTCGTAATTTCACGGCTGATGAATATTTTTCAACATCTAATAATAAGTCAAATGATCCAGTACCAATTTTAGCTAATTTTCCAAGTGAAATATTTTCTGTAACACCTTTTAATAAATCATATTCTGAATGAACAGCAGCTTCTATTAAAGCATCAACAGTTTCTTCAAATGAACATCTCATTATAGGACCAATATCTTGTTTATTAATACCATGTCTTGTAATAGGCATCAAATGTCCTCTTGTTGTCATAACATCACATAATAAAGCTAAATGTCTATAATTAACATATGATCCATCAAATGAAATAGCATGATTTAATTCACGTTCAATTGATTTTCTAGCAGCTTCAATTCCAAGAACATCAAATATTTCTGCAATATCATTTGTATATGTTCGACGTGAATCAACATCTTTAGTTGATAAAACTTTTCTTAAAGCTGTTCCATCAGTTTCTAACATCCATTCAGAAATTCTTTCAATTTCTCCATTATCATTAATTTGAATTTTCTGTTGTGAACTATCATATCTTGGAAGAATCATATGAACTTTTGATATACCTTCAATACCTTGTAAAGTTAAATCAGAAAGTATTGAAGATTCTAAACACCGAAGAAAATCAATATCATCCACACGAGTTATCTCTTTTTGATCTTCTCGTGTTGATAATTCAACTTGATCAATAGTACGTATTCTTAAAATAAGTTTTTCAGCACTCTCATCATTATATATAACATTAAGACAATCACCAAAACTTTGTGAAAGTTTTTCAGAAATTTTTTTCATAGTTAACGTTCTATCAGTCATAGATTTTCTATCTAATTCAATTCTTAATAACCATTCTGACAGATTTCTTATATCTTGATCATGCATTTCATAATATGTATTAACCCATTGTTGATCTTCTGAAATAACTGTTTCTTTTGGATCAGGATCATAACAAATAATTGTATTAGTTGTTACTTTTCTTAATGTACAATGTTCAATACGACAACATACTTCTTTACATTTTTCAACATCATTTTTTGCTTGTCCAGTTAAATAAATAGTTAATGATGGTGTTCTAGGTTTTTTTGAAACCTTAATTATTTCTTTAAGACGTGGAATACCTAATGTAATATTTTTACCTGAAACAGCAGTATAATGTAATATAGTTGATGTCATTTGTGTTGCTAGTTTTCCAATTGATTGTGCAGCTAAAACACTAACCATTTCACCAGCTTGAACTTGTGCTTGTTGAAAACGTGTTTCAATTTCACTACAAAGCCAATTAAATGCTTCAGCTGTTAAACGATGAACATCAAGAACTTGACGAGATGATAATGATGAACGTAATAAAATATTCATTAACATTGTTGCATTAGATTGAGCTTCACGTGATAAACGATCATCACCTTTTTTTTTTCGAAAAAAGAAAAAAAGAAATTTTTTTTTTTTTGTTATATGAGAAAAATTCTTACCTCTAACAATAATAAGATGTTGTATTAATTTTTTTAAACCTTGAATAACTTGACTAGGTAATAAATTTGATTTTGTATAATTTGAAATAGAAAATTTTTTCTTTGCATTATAAATTAATCTTTCTAAATTACAAGCTAAAACTATTTTCGATGTATCACCAGTTGGAAATATTTGTCTTATATTATGTCGATCTTCATTTAATTGTTTCCATTCATCATTTAATAATTGTAATGATTCATCTGTATATAAATCTCTAATAACATCATCAGTTAAAAATTTTCTTAAATACATTTCATCAGATGATAAATCAAATTTACATAAACGTTCAAATACTTGATTTGATGGTTTTAATGATATAATTGTTTGATATTCAACATTTTCACCAGCAAGACCATCTTCACCGTATATAAATTGAATTATGTGTTCATTTTCATCTCTTACAGTACCATCATATTTAACCATAAGAGATTCCATAGCTTTAATTAAGCGTCGTTGTATATGACCAGTTTCAGCTGGTGTAACAGCTATATCAATAAAAGCTTCACGTCCACCCATAGCATGAAAATAAAATTCAACCGGTGTTAAACCTTGTAGAAAGGAATTTTCAACAAAACCCTTAGCCTCAGGTCCATAATCATCTTTAATAAAATGTGGTAATGTACGATGTTTAAAACCAAATGGTATACGTTTTCCTTCAATGTTTTGTTGACCAATACAAGCTATTACTTGTGAAATATTTATAGATGAACCTTTAGCACCACTAACAACCATAGCTTTAAATTGATTAAAAGGAGATAAACATATTTGTGCTGATAAACCCGTATTATCTCGAGCACTATTTAGAAGACTATTAACTATATTTTCAAATGTTTGTCTTAAAGAATTTCCAGGTATTGGTTCTAATGAATCACAATGTGCTCTTTCAATAACTTTATTAACTTCATTTTTTGCTTTTATAATTGTTGCTTGAATTGTTTCATATGTTTGTCGATCAGCTATTGTATCCGCTATACCAAATGAATGTCCTTCTAGCATTAACCAATTATCAACAACAAGTTGGATATGATGATAGAATTGTGCAGCTATTTGATGACTACATTCCATAAAAACAATATGTGCTAATGAACCAGTTGATGTACCTAAAGTTTTTTTACATAATATACCTGATAATAAACGTCCATTTTCAATTAAAACTGTTGTATCACCAGGTGATATCCATTTATACGGTCCACTATCTTCATCATATGGATGTTGACTATTTGTACGTATACAATTAACTTCACGTGGAAGAATTAATGAAAATAATTGTTTACCAGTCCATAATGGTTTTGGTTTTAATATAGCTGCTTGTGGTATATGTCCATCCCATGATGGTAAATGCATTAATAAATTCATAAAATCATTTTTTTCAATAAATACATCACGTTTAGTCATTTTCCAAACAGCTATTAATGTATCTTGTACAATACTCATCATAGGTCGATGAGATTGTGGTGTTATTATCAAACGTGGTACCATCATTAATTCAGATAATTCAGCTTTAGCTTTAATTGATTGTGGTAAATGTAAATCCATCTCATCACCATCAAAACTAGCATCGTATGGTGTTGTTAAAGATACATTTAATCGAAATGTTGACCATGGAAGAATTTTAACACGATGTGCCATCATTGACATTTTATGGACTGTTGGTTGATGATTAAGTACAACTAAATCATTATCTATCATAAATCTTTCAACAATATAACCAGATTGTAAATGTATATCAGATGATTTTGGATGACAACGAAGATCAATTATTTCACCTGTATTCAATATTATATTTTTAGCTGCATTACGACAAATTAATTCTTTTAACCAATTTATATTAAATGGTGTTACAATTTCAGGTACAGTTAAATTTTGTGCTATTGTACGTGGTACACCAACTTGATCAATTGATAAATTTGGATCTGGTGTTATTACTGTCCTCGCACTAAAATCAACTTGTTTAACTAATAAAT